CAGCCAGGCCTGGGCCATGCAACACTGCCCCAAGGCATGCAGAGAGAAGGAGCTGCTGTGTAGAGGATGCAGAACTGGATACGGGAATGCACGGGCTGCCCTGTGGGCTCTGAGTGGGCACTGGACTGAGCTATGCAGGAAAACTCAACCAAAACCCCCGTCCTGCCTGTCTGCACCCAAACACCTTGGTGGTACTGAGGCAGGTCTCCCAAGGAGTACCAGCAGCCTGAGCACCATCTCCCTGCTCCTGCCCAGGCCACAGTGCCCTTTGCTCCAGGGGCAGCCCTCTGTCAGGTCAGCTCTGCGTGCCTGACCCAGATCCAGCTCTTGCCCTTTCCTGAGGGCACTGTCCCTCTCCAGTCCTGCACCCTGAATCACAGCATGCCCCCCATGCTGGGCAGGCTGCCCTGGGGCTCACCTGTCACCTGGAGCTGCTGGCGCAGGAGCAGCAGCCGGTGCGTGTCCTCCTCGGCCTCCAGCACGTGGGCGTCGAAGGGCAGTTCATTGGGGCCCAGCAGCCGGGGGCTGTACTTGCCCGCATCGTAGTCATCCAGGCTCTGCTGGATCAGATCCTCCTCCATCAGCACAGCCTCCCCCTCTGCCTCTCCCTTGGCCTCTGTGTCCTGCTCTGCCTCTGGCTCTGAGGATGGCCCTGGCTGCGCCTCAAGGCTCTCCTCGGGATCCAGCCTGCATGGAATGGAGAAGAGAGGACTGGGACGGGGATGGTACCCTCGTTGGCTGCTCACCTGAGCTCTGCCTCAGGAAGGGTGAGGGCACAAGACTGCCTTTGTGCCCGGGGACAGGGCCAGGTGTTTGCTCACCTGTCACTGGGGGAAGCTGGCTCCCGCTTGATGATTGGGAAGAGCGGTTCACTCTCCACACCCTGCTCCTGCTTCAGCTTGTACAGCTTCTGACGCAGCACGTCCTGGTGCCGCTCCCGCAACCTGAGAGAGGAGAGGAGCCGTCAGGTCCCACCCAGCAGAACCACCTCACTCCCACTGCCCAAAAGCTTTGACACCTACGTCCATGGGCAGAAACCTGCCGGGTTGGATGGCTTTGGGCTGAATAAGCCCCAGCTCAGTTCTCTCTTAAGAGACCTCACTAAACATCACCACTGCAGAAGGGACTGTGTGTCTCACCCTGCTCCCCTCTTGGAAATCAGCCATCTCAGAAAGGCAGAACACCCTCCCCCATTCCCTCCTCCAGTTTGGTTTAGGCCTTCCCAGCTCTGCCCATGGCAGGGTCTGCACTGCTGCCACTCTCTGCTCTCACCTGGCCCGAGCCATGTAAGCCTTCAGCTGCTGCAGGAGGCTCTCCCAGTACCCAATGTCCAGGTTGGGCCCTCCCGCCCGGATCTTGCTCTCGATGCCCTGGTACAGAGCTTGCAGCTGGTTGTACGTCTTCCCCTTGAACACAGACTGCACATCTGAGCTGACTGAGGCGTTGACACCATCCCGACGCTCCCCTGGACAGGCGAGGGCAGCTGGTCAGTCTCCAGGCACCCAGCTGCACTCATCCCGGTTCTGCTGACAGCAGGAGGCCAGGCCTCAGCCAGAGACAGCTGCCAGACCCACAGCCTGCATCCAGCAGGTCCGAGAGAGCCCCTCTGAGCCTGAGCACACATGGTGACCCACCACTCACAGACCCCGACACCCACACCAGGCTCTGCTCTCCTGCTCACCTGGTCCTCCTTTCCCAGAGGCCTCCAGCTTGCGGAGCTTGGCTATCTCATCCTCCGTGATGATGGTCATGTCCCTCCAGAAGTCCACATTCTTTCCTTGCTCCAGCTCCATGTACACCTGCAGGCAGAAGACACATCAGACACCTGCTCCGCACCAGGGGCAGGAAAGCAGAGCTGGTAGAGCACCCCTGAGCCCAGGCAGAGAGCCAGCAGAGCAGGCACCTGGATGTCCTCCACCAGGTCCTCCATGTCGGAGACGGTCAAGCCGTTGAGGAAGGTGTAGGGCTCGTGCATCTCCACAGCCAAGTCATCATCCTCTGCACTGATGTACTTGGCCAGAAGATCGATGGGCTTTGCCCTCCCATCCCGAATCCGGATCTTGGACCTGGTGAAGGGACAGGAACAGAGGGACAGTGGGGGACTCTGAGCAGTGCCATCCTCTGCCCCATGCCAGGCCTGGCTCTGAGCAGGGTGCACACCTACCTCAGCTTAGCCTGCTGCAAGTGGAAGTTGTCCTCCTGCTCTTCCCAGGTTTTGAAGTGCTCTGCCTCCTTCTCCCGCTGCAGCATCTCCAGCTCCTGCTCCCGCATGGCTTTTTCCCGCTCCCGCTCCAGGCGCAGCTGCTTCACCTGCCCAGGGTGACAAAGCTGTGAGACCACTGTGGATGGGCCCCTGTGCAGACACCCAGACCCCTGCTTGAGGACACAGCCATGACATGACCTGTCCCTGAGTTGCCCTGGCTCCTGCCTTCAGCCCAAGCTCCTGGAGAGTGGGGAGCCAGTGGGGCCAGGTTGCGTGGGTCACTGCCAGCCCCGTGGGTGACAGGGGACAAAGGCACAACGGAGTGCCTCAGTGTTGCGACCTGGCATTGTCCTCCTCAGCACCTCCTGAGCTCAAACCTAAGGGAAGGTTTCTCATCCTGGAATAACAGAAGCCAGGGTTTATGGCCCCCACAATTCTACAGGCTGGACACAGCCAGGAGAAGAAAATGGGACTTCCCAGTGAGAACCAGGCTGTAAACAGGGCTGTCAGACAATGACATGGAAAGGACATCTTATCCCACCTTCTGCAGCTCCAGGCGATTGTCCTCCTGGATTCGCTTGTTCCTCTCCTTCAGGTCCTTCTCGTCCAGATGGCTGATCCCTTTCTTTTCCAGTGCCTTAAACAGAATGGCCAAGGGAAGCTGTGGAACCCAAGGACCTCCACAGTCCCTCGTTGGCTAGCAAATGCTACTCCCTTCATCTGTTTCTGCTGCTCCAGTGAGGTCTGATCCTGTTGAAAGTCCCTAAATCACTCAAATGCTGCTCCCAAAGTCCCTCAGCAAACCCAGGCTCAGCCCACGTAGCCCACCCGGCCTGGTAAGGTGAGTGCCAGCACAACAGTGTCATGGAATCATGAGGGAAGGGACCTTAAAGATCATCTCATTCCACTCCCTGCCATGGCAGGGACACCTCCCACTGTCCCAGGTCACTCCAAGCCCTGTCCAGCCTGGCCTTGGGCACTGCCAGGGATCCAGGGGCAGCCACAGCTGCTCTGGGCACCCTGTGCCAGGGCCTGCCCACCCTGCCAGGGAACAACTTCTGCCCAACATCCCATCCAACCCTGCCCTCTGGCAGTGGGAAGCCATATCTTGTCCCTCCAGGTCCTTGTCAAGGTCCTGTCCAGCTCTCCTGGAGCCTTTGTAGCCACTGGGAAGAGGTCTAAGGTCTCCCCAGAGCCTCCTCTTCTCCAGAGAGCCTTCTCTTCTCCCCAAGAAGAGGTCTAAGGTCTCCCCAGAGCTTCCTCTTCTCCAGTGAGCCTTCTCTTCTCCCCAACCCTGAACACCCCCAGCTCTCTGTCATTCCTGTGGCAGAAATGCAGCATTCCTGTTATCATCTCCATGTCCCTGACTCAGTAAATGCTGCCCAGCACTCAGCCTACAGCTCCCAGCAGCTTCAAGACCCTCTCCTGCCCTCGACCCATCATCTTATCTCCCTGCCCTGGATACGGACCCCACCTGAGGCACAGATGCCCCTGACTACCCCTGCCTGTTCCATTTGGCTGCAGGGCCAGGGCAGAGCTCACCTTGCTCCAGATGAATGTGCCCAGGAGGTTGTTGTCCCCAAAGGGATTGTCGGTGTTGGTGTAGCCCATGTACTCCTCACCCCAGCCCATCTTCTCCCGCTTCTTTCTCTCCTTGGCCTCCTTCTTGGCCAACCTCCGTGCCCGCTTCTCCTCGGGCGTCTCCAGGGCCTTCATCAGAGCCGCCTGTTTCTTCTTCTCCTCCCTCAGCCTCAGCCGCTCCTGCAGGCTCAGCTGCTGCCCCGGCTCCTCCCGGCCCCGGGGCCGCGGCGGGGAGGGGGAGCTGACGGAGGACACGGAGGACTTGGATCCATCTCTCCTGCGGCGCCGCTCCCGGCTCCGCGCTGCCCTGTCCCGCCCGCGCTCCGGGCTGGAGCCGGACGAGCAGCCCCGGGACCGTGAGCGCTGTTTCCTCCGGTCCTTATGGTGCCGCTCCCGGCTGCGGCTTCTTTTCTTCTTTTTCCATTTGTGCCTCTCATCGCCGGAGTCCGAGCTGGTGGGACACAGCCGTGCTTCAGCGGGAGGAGGGCACGGCCGTGCCGGGCACGGGGCTCTCCCCGCCGCAGGTGAGGCCGGCCCAGCACCGGCGCCACCGGCAGCACCGAGACAGCGAGGGGTACCTGCAGCCCCCACCGCCCCAGGCCGGCGTCACGAGCAGCGCTCGGGACCGACCGCCCGCCCCCAGTCCCCGGCCCTCCCCGAGACCGGCGGGACCGAGCTCACCCTCCCGTCCCCCGCCGGGCCCGGCGGTGCGGACAGCGGCCGGGTCGGGCCGCGCGGGCCCCGGCACGCCAGCCCCGCTTCCCCACAGCCACGGCGCGGCCCTCCGGGCCCCGTGCGCACTCACCCAGAGCTCGGCTCCCGGCGTCGGTCCCGGCTCCGGCTGCGGTGTCGCCGCCCGTGGCTCCCGGACCGCGAGCGCCCCCGGTCCCGATCCCGGTTCCGTTCCTTTTCCCGGTCCCGGTCTCTTTCCCGTTCCTTTTCCCGGTCCCGGTCCCGCTCCGAGCGGCCGCCCCGGGCCGGGCTGCGCGACCCGGAGCCCATCGGCAGCGACAGCTCCACCCCGGGGCCTCGAGGGGCCTCAGTTCACCAGGCTGCCCCGCCGCCCGCCTGCGCCCGCCCCGCCCCAGCAGCGGCCCCAGCGCAGACAGGCGGGCGGCGGGCAGCCCCGCGGCTGGGCGGAGCCTGCCCCATCCCCGCCCCTCCCCTTGCCCGGCCGGGCCCGCGGCGCGCACAGACGGAGGCGGAGGCGCGGAGCTGAGCACAGACTGCAGAACGCTTTATGGGAGCGGGTACAGAGCTCTGGAAAAGGGGCTCCCCGGAGAAGGAGGGGAAAAACTCTCAAAACAACCGAGAAAAGAAAAACCGCGCCCAGGCCTCGAGCCCCCGGAGCCGAGACGGGATCACAGCCCAACATCGGAGACCCCGTCCGGCCGCGCCCCCTCCGCCGGACATTGGGCACGGGCACGGCACGAACAGCGACATCCGCGGGGACATCCACCAGGACACGTGGGGACAGGGACAGTCACCAGGACAGACGGGGGTGGGGACAGGGACAGGCACCAGGACAGACCTGGCGCGCGTAGACATGGACAGAAAACCCCTCAGCCATGACCCCAGACGCCGCCTCAGCCCCGGCGTTCTCCTTGTCCACTCGGGGGGCGCTGGAGCAGTGGCTGGCAGTGAGAAGGGGAATGCGGGGGGCGATGGAGCCCTGCAAACGCCTCTGCCTGCCTTGGACCGAGGCGTGTGCGTGCTCTGGCTTCACTGAAACACTCCCCAAGGTGCAATTCCAGCACACGTGGCCGGAGAGGCAGCGGCAACCAAGAGCTGCATCCACTCTGTGCGTGTTGAGGGTCCCTACGAGCCCCCGGGTTTGCCCCAGAGCCTTTACAGGAGCCTGACTGCAAACTCAAGGACAGAGATGCCCATTTTCTCCTGCCGGCCTCTTACCTGGCAGGGAGAGCTCACCTGCAGCCCCAGCACCAGGCAATGGTCACGGCATGTTCCACAGAGTCTGAGCTCCCAGCTGGGACCATGGGGATGAAGGACAGCAGTGCACAGACCTGTGTGGGAAGGAGCTGTCCTGCAGGGTCAAATCTCAGAGTACAAGACTCGTGGTGCCTCCTTTAATGATGGGGAGCCTGGACAGCACCTGCGGGGTCACTAAGGGGAGCCCAGCACAGAACAGCACCTCAAGTCCAGAATGAGCTGAAGTGCAGGTGGAGGAACACTCAGGCCAGGGATGCTCTTTCCCATGGGCAAGTGCTGTTCCTGCCCAGGCAGCACTGGCAGTGCCTGTGACATGCTCCAGAGCTTCTGCTGCTCCCTTGCCCTGCTATGCAGAGGGGGCCAAGAATGAGCTCTAAAATGCAAGGTCCTTTCAGCCTCCATGGGAAGCAGTTCCCCAGCACTGGGAGCTGCTGGGACAGGAGGTGACACAGCAGGGATTGTGCCAGCCTGAACAGGGGCAGTTTCTATTTCAGATCAACATCTGCCTACAGGAAGGTTCCTCCTTATCCCTTGACAAAGCTGTTCTAAGCCTTTGCCTGTCGTCTTACAGGACCACCCCAGCCCATCCAGACCTGCTCCAAAGGGTCCAGCATTACAGAACTGCACAAGGATCACCTCAAAAAGGGAAGACAATTCTTTGAATTGAATGAACATGCTGCAGGAGCTCTGGGTTTACACCCTCAGGACCCAAGCACAGCTCCACCTCACAAAGCTCATTCTCTGGGACACTCCCTGCACACACACCAAGCAGCTTTAGAGACCCCCTAGAAATGAGGGGAAGGAATAAAATCTCCACTGATGCTTGAACCATCTCAAACAGGATGCTTGATTTCAGGTGGCTGGAAAGTCCTGACGAGGCCAAACGCTCCAGCCCCTGACTGAGGTGGTTCCAGGGCAGGGGCCTGGCTCAGAACAGCTCCAGCCACCCTGGTTCCCCCCCAGAGCCCCCTCCTCTAGCACAGCTCCCAACAGCAGCAGCTGCAGCAGGGATGTGGCTTTCTCTGGCCGTTCTACACACACTGCTGGGGAAAAAGAGGTTGAATTTTTAGCTTTTCGAAGCTCCTTGCCTTGAGCCCAAAGGCAGGTGAGGCTGTAGGTACTGCATGGCTCCCATTCCCCTCCACCAACCCTGAGCCCCCCAGCCTGCAGAGCCCCCCACAGGAAGGTGGGATGGGACAGGAGCTGCAGCTGGGAGAATGAGCTGCCAAGCAGCGACAGAAAGGGGAGAGTTTCTTGAGAGACTTTTGATAGACTATTTGGTAAATACATGGATACATGAACAGCAGCAACTTGCACAATCCCCAGACTGTGCTCCCAAGAAGCACAACTCACAGCCTTCTGCATCTACAGGCAGGGAAGGGAAGTCCAGGTCCTGTATTCTGGGCAAGAAAAAAAAATCAATTCCTGAAGATTCTCACTAAGTTCAGTACAGTACAGAAGGAAGAGCTTCCCATCAGCCCAGCTACCTTCTGGGACCCAACATAACCACTCCTGAGTGCTGCTGAGATTGTGGGGACTGAGGCCTGAGAGCAGGGTCCTGCTTCCCCACCCCTCTACCTGGAATCCCAAGGACAGTAAAGATTGTAAAGGGAATAAAGAGACTCTTTCTCAAGCGAGGTTCATAAAGCACACAAACAAGACCTGTCTCCCTCTAGTCTAAAGGACTTTCTGTTTTCTGTCTGGGAGATAAGGACAGGATTGCTGGATTCCAGACTATGCTATGTGTTCTGCTGATGGATGAGGCTGAACACTACCCCTGACATCACATTCTCTCACCTATCGCCCACAGCCCTTGCAAAGCAAACCCTCTCAGATAGCCACAGCAGGGATTTCCACCAGCAGACGTGACCCCAGGCACCACCCCAGTCACCCAGCTTTCTGTCCAAGAGTCCGTGAGCACAGCAGTGCTGGCACAATTCCGTGGCAGAGCCAGGCTCCCATTCCTGCCTCCAGTGACTGGACGTGCCCTTGTGTCTCTGCCTGCCCTGAGGGGCACAGGGGACGTGTGAACCCAGTGTCCGTGACCCCAGGGTACACCCACGAGCACGTGAGGGGCTGAGCGGCTCCAGGAGGATGCAGGGTCTGGACAAGCCCCACATGGGCTGGGCAGAGTGGGGAAATTGCCCTCCAGCGTGGCCAGGCTTGGGAGGTGCCCAGTTCCCATCTGTCCGTGCCAGCAGGCGGTGGCCACTTGGATGAGGTGTGGACTCCAAGCATAGAGGGAGGGGTGGCGCAGCAGTGCAGCACAGGGTGAAGGTGGAACCCATCACGACTTCGGGGAGAGCTGAGGAGTCCACGTCGCTGTCACCAGGAACTGTGCTGTCCCGCACGGTGTCACAGACAGGAGAAGTCACTAGAGAGTTTGGATCCAAGTGAATTGGCATGGCTGCTTTGGACTATGGTAACATGGGAGCAATTCTATTCCATGGCCTTTAATACATTTCATTTTCATAGCACCTTTCATCCCAGGGTTTAAGTGCTGTAACGGAAGCAGGTACTGTGCACCCATTAGCACGGGGGAAACCGAGGCACAGAGTGGTTTAGTGATTTGCCTTGGGCCACTTGGAAAAACCGTGGCAGTGTCTGGACAGCCTTAAACCTCCTGACTCCCTCAGCTGGTGAGACCAAACTGCTGCCTCACATGAAGCCACTCCACTCCCTGCCCTCCCCAGCAACGTGCTCCTACCCATTCTTCGGTGAAATCGCATGCTCCTTTTTGATGCACAAATATATGACCAAAAAAAAAAAAAAAGAAAAAAGAAAAAAAAGTGCAGTAAACTAAATGTTTAAAAAAGCACATGTGTGCTGTCTCTGTGCAAAGATAAAAGAAATAAATACATGATTAAAAAATTAAAAAGGTTCACAGTATCACACATGGATAGGTAGCTATGGTAGTGCACATCTGGAAAACACTGTGTTACTACCCAGGATTCTCTACACCCAGCTAGAATTCTCTGCTGGGAGCTGCGGGTGAGCGGGTGGTTTCTTTGCTGCCCACGTCTGGGGTGAGTAGAAATACATGGTTATAGTTTTGCTCCATTCTGAAACGCAGTGCCCGGGATCCTGCAGTGCAGCAATACTGGTGTCAGCAAGCTCTTCCCCATCCACTGGAATGGCTGCATCAACGAAAAGGGAACACATCGACCTGCAGAGGGAATCGCTGCTCTCTGGGACTTCTGTGTCTGCATAGAGATTACTGTAAGAGGCAGAGAGAAGAGAGTCACAGAATCATGAAATCATTAAGGTGGGAATAGATCTCCAAGAATACCAAATTCAGCCATCAGCCCAGCACCACCACCATGTTCACCACTAACCCATGTCCCCAGGTGCCACAGCCACATGTCATTTGAACACTTCCGGGGACAGTGATGCCACCACTGCCTGGGCAGCCTGTTCAAATACCTGACAACCCTCTTTCAGTCAAGACATTTTACCAAATATCCAACCTAAACCTCCCCTAGCACAGTTTGAGGGTGTTTCCTCTTCTCCTGTTCCTTCTTCCCTGGAACAGAAGCTGACCCCCACCTGGCTGCCCCTTCTCTCAGGGAGTTGTGGAGAACAAGGTCCCCCCTGAGCCTCCTTTTCTCCAGGCTGAGCCCCCCCACCTGCTCCTCATCACACTTACGTTTCAGCCCCTTCCCCATGTCCACTCACTTCTCTGGACATGCCCCAGCCCCTCAACATCTTTCTGGTTGTGAGAGGAAAGAGGATCAACCCCTGAGCACCAGTGCCCACATCAATCAGGTCTCTGTTCCGCCAACTTCCCAGCACAACCAGAGGCTGTCCTACGTCTTCCAGAAATGGCAACATGTCTGGGAAACCTGAGCTCCCCAAAGTTCTTCCTGCACCAAACAACTGGGAATAAGCCACAGCCCTTGCTGAGCAGGAGCCCCACGCTGCCAGAGGCCAAGCTGACCTTGCAGAGGGAGCACAAACTCTGACCTCGACCCAGCGGGCACCCGGCACACGGCTGTTGGACACTTACTGTATCGCTCTCCTCATCGGAGACAGAGTGGAGCTGAGTGCTATAGTGGAGCGGGGAGTAAACCCAACTCCTCTCGTCTGTCGGCTGCCAGAGTGGCCAGAGACGGCAGGGAGAATGCAGGGAGAGCAGCAGCAGAGCAGGGAGCAAAGGAGAGAAGAGGAAAAAATAAAAGGAGAAAATAAAAAGAGCAGGAAACAATACAGTAAGAACAGCTGTCCACCTGTAGGGAGAGCACTGAGCCCAGAGCCAGCTCTCAGCAGAGGAGCCCTCCTCATCCTCAGCACACAGTGGCTTCCTGCCAACCGGGACACAGGACCTGTGCCAGCTGCAGTGGGGGTGGCACACCCTCTCCTCTTGTAGGGACAGAGTTTTAGAACTTTTGAGATGTCAGGGAAACCTCAGCTCCCAGCCATGGCATCATCCCAGCTCCAGAGAAACCGAGAGATTTGGGACGTGACTTACCTAAGAGCAGTGACAGCTCTGGGCTCCTGCTACCTGCTACCAGCTCTCACCCTCCCATTTCCAGAGCTCTGTGCATGCTACAAACTGATATCCAGGAGGGCTTTTACAGGGCAACTGGATTTGTTTGTTGTGCCTTCCTCCTTCTTTGCAGAAGGCAGTGAAGCTGGGGTGAGACCATGGAGGATGGTGGCCACAGAAAGGAAAGAGTTATTGCTGAGATCCTGGGGACAGTGGGGTGATGGGAACAAGTACAACACAGGAGGCAAAACACAACTGGACCCTGGAAAGAATGAGGGGAAGGAGGTATGCCTTGAGGGACAGTTATAGCACTGGGAATTGCTGTGAGAAGACACACGCTGCTGCCTACACAGCACAGATTCAAGGGCTGGTCTCTGCTGCCAGTGTTCCCAGGGGGGCCCCATTTATATTGCAAACAGGCTCTTTTGTCTCCAGAGGAGCTTCCACAGAGAAGAAACTGCCCCCTTTGACCCAGCCTGGCATTCGCAAAGGAAGAGAAGCAGAACTGGGTGTTTGGAAGAAGCCTGCAGTGTTCCCAGCCCAGGAACTGAGCGTGACAGTCTACAATGTACAAGGAACTACAAGAAGCCAGAGAAGCTTTGAAGCACTGGGCTCCACATGCTGAACCCCCCATTAACTGCAGCTCCATTAGTAGAGACTGCTGGGAGGAAGGAAGGCTGAGAAGTCCCTGACTGGAGCTTCTCACAGGGCTCTATCAGAGGTACAGGAAACCTCCCCACCACATCAAGCTTGTCCCACATCCTCTTTTTCATCCATGATGGTTCATCCATCCTGACTGAACCACATGCTCCAGCCAGTCTCTTTCAGAGCCTTTTAGGAGCTTGGATGCATGCAGGGAGCTGCAGGAGATAAAGGAGCACCCAGTGCTTGGCATTACCCCTCCCGGTGCCAGAGCAGCCAAACCCAGCTGAGGGGCAGGAGGGGCTGCAGGAGGAGTTGCCTGTTTGCCCAGCAGCACCTTCTTCATGCCATCAGCAACAGCCAGGGGCACATTCCTGCCCCTGCTTCCCCATGCACCCTGCCTGTAACCCAAATGGGAGCACCAGGCTGCACCAGTGAGGCTCCGGCAGCACTGCCACCACCCCCTGGGGACAGCAACTCTCCCAAAGCATGAGAAACTAAATGCTAAACTCCAGAACAATCTCAGCTCTAGATTCAGCCCCTAAAATCTCAAATGCCTCCCTGCATCTTTTGGAAAGGAAAATCCTCCCTGCTCCACAGAACACCTTCAGTGAGAAGGGAGCACACTGGTGAAGCTGAGAAGGGCTGGAGAGCTGAAACCAGCCCTAACTCAGCACCAGCTCCTGCCTCATTTGGTTTATGAGTTTCCCCCCACAAGCTAAAACAGTTCTGTTTGCTACTGGAGTTTTAGAACTTTCAAAACATCTTAATGGTGTCTTTAAAACCCTCTTCCTGGGCTGAGGGAGCTGAGCCTGACATCACCTATAGAGGCCCCAGTGCCTCTCTGGTCAGATCTGGTACTAAGAATCACAGAACAGTTTGGATTGGAAGATCACCCAGTATCCCCCCTTGCCACAGGCAGGGACACCTACCACTATCCCAGGCTGTTTTAAGCCCATCCAGTCTGACCTTGGACACTTCCAGAAAGAGGACAACCACATGTTCTCTGGGTAACCTGTGCTAGGGCCTCACTGCTCTCAGTTTTCCCAAGGGCTGGGTGACACTACGGCCCATGCCAGGGTAGGAGCTGTGTCACCAGCCTGGAGAAAAGGAACAGAGCTCATAATTCTCTCAGATCCTGCAAGGAGATCCACTGGTGTAATTTCAATATGCTTCCCCCATTTCTGCTGGGCTGGTTTCTAACTCAATCCAGAGCCTCAGCCGTTGAGAGAAATGGGATGCTGGCCCCAGTGTTTCAAAGCTGCAGCTCTGCTCCCCTACATGCTGTGCTGGCATGGTCACTTACAATCCCAGAGGAATGCGAGGTAGTTCGGAGTCTGCGCTGGCGGGGAGAGTAAATCCAGTACCTCCCATCTGTGAACTGAGTGGCCCCAGAACAAGTGAGGTGAGAAAGGAAACAGAGGAAAAAAAGGGTGATGTGAAAGAGAGGATGAAAGAGAAAGCAAAAAACAAGGGGTTGGGCAACTCCAGGCCTGAACGGGTGAGCAGGTGGGAAAGCCGTGCAGGGAAGAGCGGCGCCCATGCCCTGCCACACTCTGCACTTTTATTCCCTGGGGATAAACAGGAGAATGAAGTGCTCTCCAGGAGCAGGCTTCAGTCATCAGATCACAGTCTCCTGGGACTGGCCAAATCCTCCTCTGCACACGCCATCCCTTCACCCACCACCGCCCCTGAGCACTCCTGCAGGAGCAGCTGTGGTGCTACGCGAGCGCACGTGTGCAGCCTCACCTGAGCTCCAGCTCAAGCGGTTTTCCAAGGAGAGTGCCCATGGGAACTCAAATCAGCTTTTCCCTTCATCCCAGCAGTGATAAACACTCCACAGCACACGACACACATTTAATGCAAAACTCAGACTCAGATGAAGTATGAAATGCTGATGAGCAGTCAGTCACACTCTCTGTGAACACACTCTGCAGAATTTTCTCTTGGATAGAGCTGCCCCTCAAGCTGGGGGCAGTCCATATGCCCAGGGACAGGGAGGAAGAGCAGCTGACCCTCACCAGAAGAGACTTGCCAGGGGAGCAGGCAGGATCTGCCTGCACACAGCTGCCATCCACAGGCAAGGAGGGGGCAGTGTTAGAGGAGCCGTTTGCATTTTGAACAGCATGCATCCAACCCCAAACAAGCTGTAAAACAAGGCTGATTCCTTCCACAGCTCCCACAAGCCTCAGAGTGACTCAGCAATGAGTGAGCAGCTCTGCAGCAGAGTCACAAGAGCCCAGGGAAAGGCCAATACTGCATTTTAGTTTAGCCCGAAGAGCCCACTGCATGGGCCCAGGTTGTCTCCAGCACCACAGAACCGACAGCAACAAGTCAGAGCAGGGAGGAGCCGGGCACCTCTTTTAATGAGGGTTCCAGTGCCCAGGCACGAGAGAGAGCTCAGCTCTCACGGGACAGGCACTCAGCTGTGCTCTGGGAATCCATGGGACAGGTACATGTTGCTAAAAAACCTCTTCTCTGGTCTGCAGAAGTTGCTCAGCCATTGTGGGAGCTGAGTGAGGACCAGCGCCAGGCTCCACGGCACTCTGCTGCCAACCACCAACTTACTCCCTGGCTCAGCACTAGACTCCCACTGCATCACCTAATGCAGCCTGCAGGGAAAGGAAAAGCCGGAGTTCACCAGAGCCCAAGGTCACCCTCTGCAACCACCTCCCTTTGGGTCTAGGCCATGTTTGTGTCAGGAAAGGAGCCAAGATCTCTGGCTGAGGAAGGAAGAACCTCTCTGTTGCACCCACATCACCTTGGCTTGTCCCAGAGCAAATGTGCTGGCCTAGACAAACACTGGTGCTTGGAAGTAGAGCAGCACAGCTACAGCTACATCCACATCCACAGCAGGAGTGCCACCTGCGTGAGCCCCACTACATGCTGTTCCGAGTTCTCCAAGTTTAATCCAGTTCCCTGCATTTAGAAATCCACCCAGCACCGAGGTCTCAAGGTGCTTCACACCAAGATGGTGCAGGGCAGCCACTGCCCAACCCGACTGCCTGGAACGATACTGACAGCCTTGTCCAACCCTTCCCGTCACCCCCCAAGGGCCAGGTGGAGAAGGTCTCTTACAAAGTAGATGTCTGTGACTGGCACGTCATCTTCATCCGAGGCCTGGCTGGCTGGCTCCGAGGCCTGGCTGGCCGTCTCCACCTCTACGGTGGCTGTGGATGTGACAATGGCACAGGCTGAAGAAGCTGCCTCTCTGCACAGGGGAAAGAAATGACAGTCTAGTCACTGCAGTCAGGACAGGAGCAAGCAAAATGGATTTATTACAGAGGAGCTTCTGAAGATGCTATGCCATGACATCCTGAAAGGTCATGTCAGGGCAGGTCAGTACTGTGCTCAGCCTCACTGAACACCCATGACTCCAGCAAAGCTGGAGCCCAGCAAAGCCTCCAGCACCAGCACCCACAGCTCAAAACCCACTGTGCAGGATCTATAACACTCTAAAACACTCACTCTTTGACTTCTTCTTCAGGAGCTACAATCTCAACGTCACACTTGGGCTCCAGCTCGACACTGATTTGCTGAACCTCCTCCTGGACCCGCACCTCCTCGTGTGACCTGGAAACCAAAGGGGAGACAGGCCCAAAGACTCAGCTGGACGTGTTATGCATAGCCCTCAATTTTAGGTCAGCCTGAATCAGTCCAGAGCCAGCCAAGCCTCTTATGCAGCTCTGACCCGGCACACAGCTGCTGCTGCAGCTACCGTGCCACTGGGCTCCCAGCAGACTCAATGGCTGATTTCAGCTCAGAGGGAGCACTCAGACCTCCCAGGATTGAGGGTTTGGATAACCAAAACTCCCAGGAAATAGAGAGGGAGGATTACAGCACTCAGAATTAACAAGGTGGGAAAAGAGGACAAGAACAAAGGAGTTAAACAGCCAGTGCAGCAGGAAAGATGGGCAGTGTCAAATGGAGCATGGGAGCAAAGAGAACTGACCTCCAGGGAAAGCCTGTGTCCAGAGTCAGCCTGCCACCAGGCCAGAGCCTCTGACCTCTTCCAAAACTCCCAGCACACCAAAGCTGCTCCAGGATTGAGATTTATCTGCACACTCTGGAACTGCCTCTGACAATCTTCACTTTAATACCTCATGCTATTAAAGTAACTACTTGTGCCAGCAGGGCTGGCTGCACTGTCCCCATGGGAAGGAGCAGCAAGAGCCTGCCCAGCCAAGGGCCAGTTGTCAGAGAAGGGGTGAGCTCTGGGTTCACTGACAGCACTGCCCTGCTCCAGGCTGGCTCTGACCAGTGGGCAGCACTTCAGTCCAGCTCCATGCACAGAACTTGCTACACTCTTCCTCACAGGGCTGGACCTCAAACTGGACTGAACTCCCCAGCAGACCAGAACAACCAGAGGTGTGACACATTCTTGAGCAAATTGGGTAAGGTTTTTTCCATCTCAGCTCAGGAATGTAAATTCTTTCTTTAATAAATTCGTGTCTGCACTGGTTTTCACCAGGGGATCGCAGAGAGCTCCACAAGTGCACAGGTCCCTACTCTCCCAGGAAGGGCACATAGAGGCACTGGCATTAGAAAGGGACAAATTAGGCAAAAAACAACAAAGGTGGCCACACCTGCAGACAGTCAGTGTAGCTCTGGCAAATCTGTGATAGACAGATCTACTCTGACCACGCCACTGAGCTCCCTGAATGCTCCCAGGTCATTCTGACTCACCTGCCCCATTTCTGGAGGAGCAGTCATCACATACTACAGCAGCTCCGTCCCTCCAGGAGGAACTGCTGAGTCTGAACGGTTTTGGATGAAGTCACTGCATTTGCCACCTGGGCCCCACCACTGAGGCTTGGGTTTAAGTCTCCAATTTTCAGCAATTTCTAACATTGGATTCTGCAGGATAGAGGTGCTTCACAAGTCCCTGACACTTCTCACAGTGAGCAGGTCCCTGCCCTCCAGGGACAGGAATTTGCCAGGATTCAGCAACATCCCGAGGTATTTTTCATTAGGAAACACCATAGAAAGGGATTTTTTCACAGTGCTTGTCAACTGAACTCAGCAAATCACTCAAAGCTTGGAACAGCAGCAGATGCCTGTGACATGGGGCAAACCCTCATCTTCCAAAGACCTTTCCTTCCAAGCACCAAACACTGACTGCAGGGAGAGAGGATATCAGCCTGTCAGGCTCCTCTGGCTATGGCACATCCTAGGACTGAGTCTCTGATGTCATTTCAAAGCTTACTACACCTACACAATGTCCTGGAAAGCGAGGGCAGAGCCAGCAGCACCCGCTGGCTCCTCGTGCAGATCCTGCTGACATGGGCAATGGGGTAATTTTTACTGATGCAAAATAATTCCACAATAATTCACAATAATTTAATGGTAAGAGCCTCTAAAATCAGACACCCCTCTGCAGCACAGCATTTCTGTCCTACCTTGCCCTTGGCTCTGAGACACCACAGGAGGAAAAAAGCCTCACAGATTTCTGAAAACACTGGAAGCTACTTCTGTGAGGACTGAGTGTGCTCAGTGCCTCACAAAGTCAAAGCCCTTTCACTTTGCCCAGGCCACAGACAGATGCTCAGAGGAGGAATGTTTCTGCTGTCAGGGCTCACTTACTTGCTTAAAGGGACTTAAATGACTTTTCTTGACTCTGGTGCTGGGTGGGTGGGTAAATTTGGACAACACTGTTGTCCCCTTTCCTATCAAATAATTGGTATTTTCAAAGCACTAAGAGATTTGCTTTGCAAGGAAAATTCTGTGTAAGAAATGGGGATAATCTGATTGCAGAAGCAGCTCAGCATCCACGCCAAAATCCTGGAGCTGCTGAAATTCCCACTCAGCCCTCTAAGCGACCTTTGCACAGGGATAAACATGAGATCTCTGTGCAGCAGAGAGAAGATGAGACAAGACGACAGGAGACCCATTTCTCACCTGCCATCCTGCCCTGAGGAGTGTGTACGCCTCCTGTGGAAAGAAAACAGAAGAGTTTGGAGGAGCAATTTAAGCCAGAAATCCTGCACTGTCCCCAAATCTACCTCCACATCCCATGAGGGAGATGTTCTACTTAACAGCTGACACTTCTTCCAGCAATAATTAATCCCATCAAAGCTGTGTCTGCTTGCTCCCAGGAGAGATTTAATTAAAACCGGTCATTAGCATTCCAGAGTGCAGGGCAGCCTGCCGGGATCTGCAGCAGGGAGAGCAGCAGCAGCCACTCAGCACCAGTGGGAGCAGGGAATTCTCCTCCTCACCTGTACCTGGGCTGCTCAGAGGACTCCGAGGGGGATCGCTCGGGAACAGAGAGAGATGTTGACGATAGTGTCGTGGCTATGGAGGCCGTGGTAGCTTCTTCAAAGGAAGGAGGAGTGCAAGGGAGCAGGTCTGGCCTGCCTGCTGGCCCAGAGCAGGGCAGGGGAGAGGCAGGAAGAAGAGATGATTAAGTCAAACACCAACACTTCACCTACACCAGCCCCGTGTGAGGCTGTTCCACCATGAACCTGCACACCCACACTGGGACTGGGCACTCAAACCACAGACAGGCAGAAGTTTAGACGGGTCATGACAGCCTCTCCCAAGGCATCCTCTGGGGAGAGCCAGTCAGCACCACTTCTAGCACAACAGGCAGGGAATAGAATGCCAATGAAGACTTCTCACTGGTTACCAAAGCTGGATTAAAGGCTTGGATCACCAGGGACAAATATCCAAGTGAATTAAGAGGTGAACTGAGTGTTCAGTGCTTTGCTCAGGGAGCAATCCAACATCCATGCACTGGAGGAGCTTGTCCTCCAGCACTCAGCTGTAAATGCAGCCAGATGGAAGTGAAGGAAAGGCAGCACAGAATCAGCTCATTCCTGTTTTCCAACAGCAAGATCCTGCCTGTTATAACTGCCCAAACACTGTCATTGGAGTGCTGCAGTTCCCAGTCAGCACGCCCCCAAATCTTTTTTTAAAGGGTAGAAAATACAACTTTCTGTTGGCTCTGGGCTATGACTTATGGTGCCCCTTGGCAGCAGCTGTCTTGCAGCAGTGATGCAGGTGACCATTTTTACTGCAGAACCCCACATTGCTGCAAAGAAGGGATTTGGTCTCCTTTGATGCAGAGGTGTTGCATCAAGTACCTGCTGGTGCTGCGACAAAACAATGCACTCTTACCTTCTTCCCTGTCCTGGTTAGGTTTAGCACCTGCAAAGCACAGCAAGACATGCAATGAAGAGCTATCCATGAGGAAAGATCTGCAGTTGGCGCACAGTGGGGAACTTGATGAGAACAAGGGAGGATCCTAAAGAACTGCTAGGAGAGAGAGGGTAACCCCAGAGCCAGTACCCTGCGCGGGGCTGTCACCTTCATCGTCGAGCGTGGGGTAGCTCCTGGCCGCCCGCAGGTCGTACTGGGTGTCGTCCTTGTCAGAGGCCAGCTGGCTGGCCGAGAACGCCGCCGTGGGACCCGCCGTCTTCACGGCCAGCAAGGCACTGCGCCCTTTCTTGGAGGGGGACGACTTCAGAGCTGGGGGAAGGAGGGAGGCACAGAAGGTCAAAGCACCACCACCAGCTACTGTCACATCAAAGGGGCTCTTCCCTTCACAAGGAGAGGCTCTGCCCTCGCACACATCCCTTCTGGACTGAACCCAGGTCAGGTGCAGGGAATGGGTAGGAGTCTGAGCAGACCAAGGCAAGCTGTGACAATCTGAGGGCTCTGCAGTTCTTAGTTTTGCTCTGTATCATGGAATGTTTTTGGGTTGGAAGGGACCATAAAAACACATCTCATTCTACCTCCTCCATGGGCAGGGACATGGGCACTAGAGAAGGCTGCTGCAAGCAACACTGGCCTTGGACACTTCCAGGGATCCAGGGGCAGCCACAGCTGCTCTGGGCAACCTGTACCAGGGCCTGCCCATCCTCAGATTTCCAAACTTCTCATCTAACCCTGACAGCCTCAAAAAAATTGCCCTTGCCTGTCAGTATCTGCCTGTATAAAAAGTCCTTCCCCCTCCTTTTTCTAAGCCCCCGTTAAGCACCGGAAGGGGCTCTAAAGTCTCCTAAGAGCCTTCTCCAGGCTGTACACCCCCAGCTCTCACAGCTGTACCACACTGGAAAACCCTGCTCAGGCTCTAGCCCAGACTCCTCGTGAGGCCTGCAGCAGCAAGGCCAAGGTAAAACCTCAGAGCACAGCAGCCCCTGAACTTGGTACTTACAAGAATTCTTTCGAAACACCGTGTTGGTCATGAATTTGAAGAATCTCTCTGCATAAAAGCTGGGTCTGTGTACTGACACTGTGTCCTACAACAGCAAGAAGGAATTGTTTAATTTTAAAATGAACCCTCAAGGCAGAACTTCTGTAACAACCAACACAGTCTTTTTTATTCCAACATTTAGCACTGACAGAGCCTTAAAATGGAAAGGCTTAACTGAAACACTCTAATTAATGCTATAAATAACCCTGAAGCATTGCCTCTGATTGCATTTGATTATATTCTTGCTGTGATTTTATAATGGATTTTGGTGATTTTATTCCTTTGTAGAACTTCCTGGATTTTTTAAACACTGGCCTGATTGCATACATGAAATTTCTTCTGGCTTTGCTGGCTGCCATTCCAATCAAACCTGGATACTTTTGCATGTCACACAGACACCTAAATTCAGCCAAGGGTCTCCATATATTTCAAATGTTCTTGTTTAAAATAGTAAAACTGAATCTCTTTCTGTTTCTGATGTTTGACTGCGCTTCCATGACTTGGCATCTCCACATTTCCTTTGCCACTTTAAGGGAAGACAGGAAATGCAAGGCTGAAAAATGGTTTCCATATCTAAGGTTGTTCTTTCAGGAACACACACCTGGCTGCTGCAGGAATGAAGCCAGCAAGGAAACATGGAAAGGGATTTGCTGGCAGAGAGCTCGCTGAGGTGGAAACAGCCAGTCACCAGAGAGAACAGCACAGGGCTCCTGACAGCCCAGGAACACACACACCTGGGCGTGTGCTCCTGCTGTCATGGGAGACAGGAGCAGGGGAGGAAAGCTGTGAGCAGCTCAACATGTGAGGAGCTAGACTGAGCAAGGAAACCTGGCTGGGAATAAGTGGCACCACCCTGCTGTGCAGGAATGAGGGGCAAGAACTGCTCCTTTCATCAGCTGCAGCTGTGTCAGGTCAGGCTCCATAAATAGCCACCAAGTAACCTTGCAAGGCTTAGACAACTCCTGCCTCTGCACAGGCACTCACCCCATCATGGACAAGGGCCTTCCAGGTGTGCTCTAACTTCTTGATGAACCTAATTCCAAGGAGAAGAGGAGAGAAAAATAAAGATACAGATTCAGGCATGCACTCTTTACCAAGCCCCCTTTCATACACTATAGGGGAGATCCCTGAGCTGCCAATGTCACCAGGACTGAGCTTTCTCCAGCATCTCCCCCAGGAAGCCAGGACTGCCTGGGAACACCACAGGGAAGGAGGAGCTGGGCTGGAAGAGGTACACCTTCCACGCCTGGAGATATGCTTCCCACAATGAGGTGGGAAACTACTTCTTTATGAGTAGCTCATCATCCGGGACAAAGGGCTGAGTGTCCCCAGCTGCTCTAAAGACATGATGGAAGCCCATGGCCAGCTTGGGGCAGCCCTATCTACTCATCCTCAGAGTCTCCAGGAGAGAACATGTCCCCTGCTTTCATTTGGTACTAAAAGAGATGTTATGAGCCAGAAAAGACATACTATGTGGTGGTTTCTCTCCTCACCAAATATCTATTTAATGCAAAACCAACACACAGCCAGGTTACCCACCTGTATGACTGCAGGATATCTATGATTCCTACGTGCAGCAGGAGACGCTCTCCTTTGCCATTCACTGCTGGGATCCCTCCCATCCTGCAGGTAAAGCAGAACTTCAGCAGGTGCAGCCTCAGCCAGAGCACCTGTAACACCCAAGCTCTGGGGAAGGGCAACAGCAGCTGTGCTAAGGGGCTCTGGTGTGGTGTCAGACACATTCTAAAACCAGTGTGCTCACTTTATGCACAACCATGGGAGTCACTGACTGACCTGGCCTGACTCCAGGTGTCCCAGGGTCACTGCCTGCATGGCCAAACACCTCTGTCGTGACAGAACCTGCATCGTGTGGCACAGCTCTGCCTGGGCCAGAAAGCACCATGGAGTTTTCTCCTGCCTACTTTATTCTGGGGATCAGGTTATTTATCGAGTCAGCGAGAGCTGTCTGCCATTAGAGTAGTAAATCCTTAAGGACAAAGGATTCCAGTCCCGTCCACACTAATGCCATCCTGCCAAAGTGCAGCAGCCATTGGCACCAGCACACAACCAAAGCACAGGAGTGCCAGACACTCCTTCAGGCAGCCACTGCAATTATTGATGCTGCCTGAAGGACTGGAAACACCACAGTATTACCTCAGCTCTCAGGACTGACCCTCCATCAAACCCACAGCAGCTGGTTTCAGACAGCAGCAAGCAGCAAACTCCACCATTCCTTGGCCCAAGAGCCAGGGAGCCAGGCAGAATGCCAGGTCAAGCACAGCGCAGGCTTGGGACAGCCCCCAGCCTCCAGCTCCATCAGTGACTTGAGCACCTGGCTACACTGCTGTCTGCTAACCCCCCTTGGACGGCCTCAGGGAACTGCCAGGGATTCCAGAGGTGGGAGTGATGGAGAACTCCAAGCTCCTAGGGACAGGCTGATCCCTACTTCTGCTCCAGTATTTGGGTGCTGAGCGAGAACTGTCTCCTCCCCAGGGAATGGGTGGATGTTTAGAGGCTGTTACACAAGCTGACAGCCTACAGCCCGCCCTAAGACGAGAGACTGCTGTGAGGCCAGAGCCTTACAGAACTATTTCCCACCCTGGCTTCCCCCTTTCCCACCACAATGGCAGCACTACCAAAACCCCAGGAGAGCTGCTCCCTTGAACAGTTCCTGTGGGCCTCATGAGGGATTTCCCACTCCAGCCTCCACCTCTGGCCCTCCCAGCAGCACGAGCCCAGGTTTCACCTACGTGTCGTCCGTGTCGATGGCCTCCCCCCGGACAGCCCCTCCCTGGATGGACTCCATGGCTGTGGAGTACAGGGCCTTCTGCCCCACGGGACGCTTCTCATCCGACGTGCTGTGGGCTCCCTCTGACAGCTGCTCCCGCTCGTGCTGGTCTATGTTATGAACCCCAAGCAGGAGGCTGTAGTCCATGATTTTAAAGCTTTCCAATACCTACACGTTAATAGCAAGTTCAAGAACAAAGACAAAATATCAAGCCAGTAGCAGAAATACAGACCCTGAAGCACAGAATCAAAGCAATCAAAGCAGAGCATCCCATCCACATCCCCACTAACAACTCATTTGACAGAGTCTGGAAGTTTCTGAACCAACAGTCACCTCTGGGCTTGACTGCAAAGAGTTTGGCCATCCCACAGTCACAGCAAAGGCCTGAAGGCTTGCAGACAACACCACTGTATCTGCTGCACAATGACTGGGAAAATGCTCCAGCAAAGCAGCTACAAGGGGAGCAGACTCCGAAAGTGTGATGCACCAGACAAAGGAGCACAGCCTCAGTCCTCAGAGGCTGCTATGAGATCCAACTCTACTGCTTGGCTTTCAGGGAAAAGGACAGGAGACAGGATTGATCCTACTCTGGGCTCATTAGCAAGGTTCTCAATTGAGAATTGCTCTTCCTCAAGCTCGAGAGCCACAGAGTTCCCTACCCTGTCCCTGAGCTGCCCCCTCCTTACCAGACAGTCTCGCTGCAATGTCTTCACCAAAGCACTGAAGGTGTCTGCATCCAACATCAGGCCCTCAGGCATGTCTTGGATGAAGTCCAGATCCTTGTACGTAGGGCTGGACTTTTCTTTTTCCTTCTTGGATGCCCGGCGTTTGTAGGTTGAACCTTTGAGGTCAAATTTCAGGTGCATTTTCACCACTCGAGGCAGGATGTTGTTCATCACGACCACACGGATGTTCTTGCCCCCGGATTGCACACAGTACAGTCCATAAAACTTGGGCAGCAGTGTCCGGGGGTTCTGGTTCAGATTCTGTAGCAAGGAGGGGAAAAAGCATGGAGAAAGGTCATTTGAGCAGAAAATTCCTGCTGTGTTCACCACAAAGCATGTCAACAGTTGGACTAGGGATTCTTTGCTGAGAGGTTTTCTGAACTTAATAGGAGCTCAGTGTATGCATTTGACAAAGTCCTGCATTTCAGTGGCTTTAGGACCTGAAAATACAGGGACTGAGATGTTCAGCACTCTCTGGGCAAATAACCAAGTCCGGAAATCCCCTGCTTTCCCCAAGTACAGCAGTTAAAAAAAGGAAACCAAACTGGGAGAGAAATAAACACAATAAGTGGGAACTTCAAACTTAAAAATAACAGCTCTCTTTATCTCTCCACCAGTGTCAGAACCAAGAGTTGTTCTCCAGCCCAGAATAAACCACGGACAGGGTTATTTTTTAAACAAAACAACATCAATGTTTTCCTCCTGTTGCAGAGTTGCTTTATAAAGCAGTCAAGCAGAAAGCACGGATATCCTGTTCTGCTGTCATCTCCTTTTTTTAGGCAGCAGAATAATTAGGAATGACATGACAGGCAGGATTTGCTTGTTCAGCTTTGGGCACATTTGGGAAGGAAACAGAACTTCTCTGCATGCTGTGGCAGGAAAGACAGAACTGACAGGTTCTGACAGACAGCAGAAACGTGACTGTATTAAAATTTCATTCCCCTCAGCTCACCCACCTGGGCACAGCAGTGAGCCCTCTTGGAGAGTGCCAAAAGTAATAGAGGCAGGTAAATGGAAACAGCTTTAAAGTAACTCAGGATGAAACCACCCTGCTTCCTTTCCCTGACTCCTTTGATACGGGTGGTTTCCCAGGAGCAGCAGGGTGATCAGGGATAGCACCACAGAACCCACAGACAGTGGAAAGCTGCAACAGGTTGCTCAGAACTCTGCATCAGACAGGTAAGTTCAGTTTAATTCACCGACTGATGATGGCAGGATTAACAGTGCAACTCCATTCCCACTCAAAACCCCACACCTGATTTACCACCCACATTAGGCAACAGGCAGTGCTTTCCAAGAAAACTCACCCTGTCCAGGAATGTGAGTGTCACCTGCAAAAGCAAGTGATTCACAGAATCTCAGGATGGTTTGGGTTGGAAGGGACTGTAAAGACCATTTGGTTTCACCTGTGCCATGGGCAGGGACACGTTCCACTGTCCCAGGGTGCTCCAAGTCCCGTCCAACCTGGCCTGGAACACTCTCAGGGATGAAGCAGCCAAAGCTACTCTGAGCAATCTGTGCCAGGGCGTCCCCACCTTCACAGGGGAGAACTTCTTCCTGGCATGGCTGTCACTAACACACAGACATCCCATAACCTGCCTCTCTTGGGGAAACTCTCCCCAGTAAATACTGAGCGAGGGAAGGATTTTCACAGAACCAGTGTAAGATCACATAACCCCACTGCACCAGGCACACAGATGGGGCAGCAGCATTGCTTCTCATCACCTTCTCCTTGGCATCTTCACAACAAACAAATCCCTGCTTGTTGTAACTGAATGTCAAGAGTCCTCATCCATAAATCTGGAACCTCCAGCATGGTTGTGCAGGGAGACCAGCTCCTGGTTTTTACACCGAAACAGCAGGTTTGGGTCCAATTTACTTGATCCAGTGCAAGTCTCTGGGTCTCAATATCCTGCCTTGCCAGACTGATATGCAAAGCTGGCTGGTACCTTGGGGGTCTCCAGCTTGGAATTGCTGCCAGTGGGAGTCAGGACAATCCTCAGAGTAACAGTCAAACAGCAGGAATGGGAGAGATTCAGGGACAGCAGTGCTTTCCCCACAAAACCAGGGTGGTTGCATTATTGCCTGGAGTAAAGGAGGCTCAGGGGGAACCTTTTGCTCTCCACAAGTCCCTGACAGGAGGGTGCAGCCAGGTGGGGGTCAGGATCTGCTCTCAAGGAACAAGGGACAGGATGAGAGGAAATAGCCTCGAGTTGTGCCAGGGAAAGTTAGGACTGGATATTAGGGGAAATTTCTTCATGGAAAGGGTTGTAAAGGATTAGAACAAGCTGTCCAGGGCAGTGGTGGAGCCACCATTCCTGGAAGCATCCAAATAATGTGTGGCTGTGGCACTTGAGGACAAGGTTTAGTGGTGACCATCATGGTGCTGAGTGGAAGGTTGGACCTGATGATCTTGGTGGTCTTTTCCAACCTTAAGAGTTTTACTATTCTATGATTGCAATCAGCAGCCATCCCCAAATGCAGGCTGGGGAAGATGCACACTGCCAAGTGAAGAGGAATGAACTAGTTCTGGGAAAAGAACACTCGGAAGTGCACATCTGGGAAGCCATCCTGAGGCCACAACATGCCTGCAAACTACAGCACAATTATCTGCCTCATGCCTACCCACAGAGTTTGCAAATAATCAGTAGGATTTGTGCTTCTGGGACTGGCTTCATGACATGCTGTTAACACTGTCCCTGGCATGGGGGCAGGCCACAAGACACCTAGGTGGAGGACATGCCCTGTGAGATGCTCTGCCATGACAGAAAAGCTGCCATGACAAAGCTGAGCTGGGTCTGAGGTCCTGGGTGATACACACCATGTAGTATCCAGGAAGGAGCTTCTGCAGGAATTCAGCTTCCTTGTGCATCACAGTTTTGATGATGAATTCATCGTCGCTGGTGACATAGAAGAGGGAGCCGCTGGCCCCAGGGTTGGACAGCTCGATCAGAGGCTCGTTACATAATGAATACTGGCGAGAAAAAGAAAAGAAGGTGATGCTTCATCCCCCATTTATTGCAGATTAGAGTTCTATGCCCTCAAGGACCTCCCCCATGACGTCGTCTCCCTGGGAGATTAAGGGGTAGCAAAGCTCAAGTGAGAACTATTTTCATTATAGGTTTGGTCTGAGCAACCAAACTGATGGACAATTTATAATTAGAGACTAAGATTAAAGTTCAGAGCATCCCAACTGCTCAGTATCCAACTAATCATCTGCTTTCAGGAACATCCAGCCTTCATAATGACATCTTATCTGTTCCCATTGTGCCTGCACGCACGTATCACATTCAGGCTCCTTGAGCACAGCCCAGCCCACGCTGACGGGCACAGAGGATTCCAGGAGACGCCACAGCCTGCTCAGGAACCACATATCACTGTGCTGGAGGGAACACAACACACTGGCTGTTCTCAGCAGCCTCCCCTGGCCTTGTGCTCCCCTCTTCCCTGAAAAAGTCAGTGCCTGATTCACAGAATCCCAGAATGGTTTGGGCTGGAAATGACCTTAAAGCTCATCTCATTTCATACATGGGCAGGGACACCTTCCACTAGACTAGGCTGCTCCAGGCGCCATCCAGCCTGGCTCTATTTTTACAGCCACAACTCTCTCCATCAATCCTGCTAAAAACACAGGACAAGCCTTATCCCAAGTGTGCAATGAAAAGGGACGAGCCCTGCTGAAGCACAGCAAAGAGTTCTGCACTGGGACCTGAACTGGGAGAGCACGTCTGGTCATCAGGACACAAAAAGGTCCTCAGATAAGGACTTGCCCAGCAGCAGAGGGAAAAAAAGAGAAAGCAAGGCAGGCAGATGCACTTTTTAGCTCAGTGCCCACCCAGATAGTGCAGGGGGTCAGGTGGGTTCAGGGCAGGATCACAAAACTGCTCAGTGAGAGGTGAGATGGGGAGAGAAAGGTGATCAGAACAATAAATTAAATGTTCATCATTATGTAATGAAAACAGCTTTCAGCTCTGCACAGATTAACAATCCCAGACTTGATCAAGCTAATCATCTCATGCATAATTAAAGGCATTTGCTGCTGTGGCAGGCAAGAGACAGTCAGGAGAAGCAGAAACAACAAATCAAAGCCATGACCTTTGCGACTGAGGCATACTCCTTGCCTGTCCTCAGTTCTGAACACACATCCATCAGGCAGCACTGCCTTGGCTGGCACAGGAGGAGATCGCTGTTACCCTCCCACCAGGCACTGGCATGGGTTTGTTTCACTGGCAGGTGCTCAGCTGCGACCACCCCTATCTACAGGTGAAGTCACACAAAAAGGGCTGTCCCAGAAGGGGAGGATGTGTTCTCATGGATGTGCTTCCTTCTCCATTTCACATAGAACAAGACGTCACATAAAGGCAAGGGCCCAAATTCAACCACAGGGCACTTGAAGCCCCAACAGCTTGTACTCCAAGGTATTTGAAAACCAGCCTTTCCAGCTCTGAGGAGCTTTTGAAGCACAAGAACAAGCTGTGGTTTATTCTGTGTTTTTAAGATGATTAAAGTAACTACACTCACATAGCTCTCCAGTGAGTACACAAGAAAAAATTCCCATCTTTGTCCTTAGAGTTGCAGGGGACATTCCAGGGTCGCACCCAGCAGAACACAACTCCTTTGGCTTGTAAACACAGTAAGTTATTGTTACCACAAGGACCAGAGAGGGAAGCCCATTGCAGGGCTTACACAGCTGACACTGTGTGCAGGTCATGGCCTCCCTCCAGTACAGGCTGGCAGCTGCCATTCAGCAAACTCAGACTTGGAATCATGGAATCTTTGGGATGGAAAGGATCTTGAACCCATCTCACTCCACCCCCTGCCATGGGCATGTATACCTTCCACTACAACAGGTTGCTCCAACCCCATCCAACCTGTCCTGGAACACTCCCAGGGATGGGGCAGCCGCAGCTTATCTGGGCAACTTGTGCCAGGGCCTCACCACCCTCAATGGTAAAGGTAAATAAAGGAGGATAAGATAGAAAAATCTAAAAATATATCCATACCAAATAATCATCTGGACGAATCCCAAAGAGCTCTCGGAAGTACCGGAAAGCCACTGGGGCATAGGTCTTGAACCTGAAGTCGGCATAGTGGTGAGCCGGGGTGAGGTTACTGCCTTCGCTGCACAGAACACACACACGGGCACGGCCTGTTACCACTCACCAGACAAGGACAGCCACACCAAAGCTACTGTGTTCTTCAGATGCACTGAGCCTTGCGAAAAGACATCTTTGGAACAACAACCACCACCTTTCTTCTGTGGTAGGAAAACAGGTTTCAAACTATCTGCCAAAATCTATTTCCAGAGATTAAAGGAACAACCACTTGCCAAGCAGAATATATTTACACAGAGAACCTAACTTTTATGAGCTTTGTTTATTCACAGTTAGAGAGCTCCCAGAAGGAGTTGCTTCCATAGAAAACATGGTATGATTTTGTGGAAGAAATTCTAGATGGACAGTTAGGAAGACAAGCACGTAGAAAGGGTAACAAACTGGAGTGCACAGTACTGCATCCTTCACTGTGCTTCTCTGCAGGCCAGTGCACTGCAGATTCCAACACTTCCCACTGTTCTGTTTGTGTATCATGGAGCAGATTTAAAACATTCAGAGCATACAACTCTGATCTAAAGACAGATGGAAGCTCTCTTGAAAAATCAGTGAGGGGAAAAGAAAAGAAGTAATTAATGCATTCATTTCTTTCTCCTTCTCCTTTACCTTGGGAAAAAAATGCTCTCCACCACATAGAAGTCCTGCATCAGGACATCTCTCTCTGGCTTGGAGCTCAGATTTCCTACAGTATACCCAATCCCCAGCTGGATGGCCCCCTTCAGAGTGGACGAGGTGGTCTGGCAAAAGGAAAAGTGCAGTCAGTGAGCATTTCACAACAGACTATCACAATAACATCCCCTGCATTACAACACAGTCATGTCTGTGACTTTTGTGGGGTCATCTCAGGCACCACATGCTGCTAACCAAGTTTACCCAGAAGAAGATCAATCAGGGTTTCAGATTTGCTATTTACTGGACTGTGCTGCCCAAGAGTGCTGCATAAAAATCTCAACCAGATTAATAACTTCTCTCAGCCTGTCACCCACTTGGGTGCCATCCCCCACTCCCCAAACCCAAACCTTTTTGTAGGTGGTTTCCCCAGAAGCATCCACACTTCGATGACCAATCTTCTTTCCTTGGCCTGGCTGTCCTGGCAGTGAGGGGCCCTGCAAGGAGAGCACAGGGACAGTCAGGGCACAGGCTGAGCTGCCACCAAGCACATACAGAGCAGCACAGCCACACTCCCACACTGTACTGCACACAGGGCTCATGGTTCTGCTGGAGAACACCTGGCAGAGTGCCAACAGGTGAAAGTGAAGCTCTTTGAATTATACTTCCACCCCTGAAGATGAGTTTGAATAGCAACACTCCACCTGACACCCCCACTGCTCGCTGCAGAGCCCTCAGCAAAGACGCCGAGCTCGGAAAAGATCCAGCTGCCAAGATTCCCCTGGTGCTTGACTGCAGTTTCCCATTGATTTAAAACAGTGATGTATTAAATCAAACAGCCACAGAGACTTATTCTTAAAATCCCACGCCCTCAGGTGTCACACTGACACCTTGGGTTTTGCTGGAGAGATCAGAGTGAGCTGATGGGACAGCCCAGCCCCACTCACACTGAGATAATCCATTTAAGCAAGATCTCATCTGTTTACAATTCCAAGGCTGAGCCCACACAGGGTGAGCCACAGGAATGTCTCTTCCACAGGTTTTGAAGTATACAGAAATGCTATAGACTGCCAGCACTTCAGGGTGACAGCAAATCTGCTCCTGTCCCCTTCTCCTCTCCTACCTCTGAGTCTGCCTAGGCCTTTCTTTGCCAACCCAGAAGGGAGCAGGTTGTGGCTGCTCCTTTAACAGCCTGGTATAACCAGGTGTTGGAAGTTCCCTGCAGCTCCTTTTGCAGCCCTAGGGACTCTCTACTCTACCACCAGTCACCACTGCACCCACACCCAAGCTCTCTGCCAGCTGATCCCCATGGATTCTGGAGCCCAGCAGACAGCTAGAAATGCTGGTGAGAGACCAGCACCATTTCAGGGTTTGCAACATTGCAGAACAGATTTGGATGTTCCTTTGAACAATACACAGAGAGATCCAAGGTCACTTCCCAAGTGACACTGTTCTATCCCTGTCCCTCTTGAGTGCTGCACAGACCCAGCTCTGAACCAATTGCTCCAGCAGACAATGGATAATTTTGCTCAGACTAAGAAGTTCTTTGTACTTTAGCTTTTGATCAAGAGCTTGCAGTTATTTCTGTTCAATCTGCTCGTACTTCTCATTCTAAGGGGCAGTCTGAGCTCTTCTTCAAAAATCCCATTTCCTACCCTATTTATTGGCAGGGCCAGCCTTGCTTCCTCCTCCAGCAGCTGTGAGCAGCAGCACAGCTCAGCCTCTCCTTCTACCAACCCACTGAATCTTACTCCATGCAAGCCCAAGCTGTGCTGTCCTGCCTTGCCAATGGCTCACCATCATCCTCCCAAAGTGATGAGCAGGCAAGGCAGGGGAAGGGACTGCCATCCTAGGAACTGCAGTGACAAAAGTCTCTTCCAGTCTCCTGCTCTGCCTGTGGCTGTTTCCAGGGCAAGAAAAAGTGGCCCTATTTGTGCACTAAATGATGCAATCACAGAAGCTGAGCTTCCCACTACACATATTCCTGTGCAGATACAAAAGAACCAAGTGTCACATTCCAGGCAATTTTCTGGGAAGATTTTGCTGTTCATGTACACAAATGCTCATCATCACAGGTGAAGAATGGGAAGGGGGATATAAAAAAATTTGATCAAACAAAAATCATTTGAACATGATGCCCTAAACCATGAGTGTGGGTTTCAGGGAACAGCTTTTAGGCACAGAGCCTCCTACTAGATTCCCTGCAGCCAACTGTGAAGAGTTTTGCTCCAGAAGGTAACAGTGACTCAGAACCTGTGACCTGGAATATCTACAAGAGAAGATGAGTCCCTGGAGATGTTCCCCTGTTTTAGGGCTTCACAAATCACAGCCTTCCTAACTCGCTCCCAGTGGGTAAGTGTGGGAATCAGAAAAATAGAAACTTCCACAGACATGGAAGGGTTTGATTTGCAGCCTTGGGAGAAACTTGGATTGATGTAAAAATACAATACACAGACATTAAGTAGAAAAAACATAAACTTATGTTTCTGTAGTTTTAAGTAAGAATATGACTTAAGTAAGTGAGAAACTATTGGGTAAGATAGTGAAAGGTTTCTAATGTAGGGGTGTGGTTGTATAGAGTAAGCTAAGAGTTTAGAAGTTATAACAGAACATATGTGTGTGTGTGTGATAACAGCCCACTGGACAAAAGGATCCCCTGTGCAGCAGAAGTAAGTAAAGGTGATGGGTTAGAAAAGCAAAATAAACCCTGTGGCAACTGTCTATTGGTTTAGAAAGTTATGTGTTGTCTTGTAATGAAGAACTTGTGACTTCTTTGAGCTATGGCTGACTGCCTGCTCCTCTAAAATCTCACAGCCTCTGAGACTGATGTTCATCTGAGCAATAAATCATTCTTAGCCAGAAAGTAGTCCCCATTAAAAGGCAGTGACAGTGACAGGTAAGACCCATCACAGAGGCCTGGGGATGCCCAATGCATGCACTCTCCAGTTCCCACCTTCAGGTGCTGGTGTGGAAGAGGTGCCCTCAGTCACCAGTGCAAAGGCATCATGGATCACACAGCCAAAACTGGCCACATGATGGGCACAATCCCTCCACATCCCTTCTGTGGCTGCAGTGATGCCAATGAAGGGATGCCTGGAGACCTGGCACTAATTTTATTTCTCCCAAATAACAGATATCGATTTTGTAGTAATCTCGTAAGTATTTTGAAATGCAGTTTTGCTAAAAAAAAGGCAGGCAGAAGAGTTTCCTAGAGCTCTGTGTTCTCATTTCTCAACACAGGATTGTCAAACCCAGCTTTACATATCTCACCTCAGTGATGGCTGTCTTCTTTGGGCCCAGACCTGCAGACAAAAGAGAAGAGCATCAGAAGAAGTAGGGACACCCAATAAAAACCCTCAACCCAACCACCAGAACTCAGAAAACAGCTCAAAGCTTTGTCTTTACAAGTACAGCAGCCAGCCTTTAGAACAGCTGGTTTTACTCGGTATTCAACTTCACCAGTGCAGGAATCTGATGGTACAGGAGTCACTCAAACAATTTCATATTCAGAAGTACAAAAATGCACATTTTTTCCCAGCAACAGTATTTCCTAGAGGCTTCAGCAGGGAGGTCTTGCAAATCTCTGCTGCCCCATTAAGCAGTGGTTCCACACTATGCTGAAGAGTTGGATCCACCCAGAAACCCAGAGAGACACTCCTGAAGCTGTTTTCCAGCCACTCGGAAGGCACTTGACAAACTATATTGATAATTGAATATATTTATAGAATCCTATGTCCAAATATATCACACAAATGAATGCATCATTCATCTTTATCGCTGCCTCAGGAGAAGCCACTGCTGCTCCATTACAGCCAACGGTGGAAATTAGGGTATTGCCTTAAGCTTTTAGGTATAAAATCAGAGCTGGAAACACAGGCCCAAACCCTCTGACACGAGGCCATCTCCCATTTCCTAGCCTGACTTTGTTTTTCTGAGTTTTTCCGAGCCCGAGTTTGCAAGAAGCTCCTCAATTTCAGACAGCAGGGAGCACAGGGTCCTGTGTGGAATGTGGGACCGTGAGATCCAGCCCAGCTGGCTCCTGGGAGCTACCATGAAGGATCAAGAGCTGCTGGAGAGGAGCTCCCCACACCACCCCAGCACCTGTGTGTGCACAGACCAGCTCTCATGGAGGAGTCTCTAGCACAGAACACAAACTCAAGGGACAGCTTTAAGGCCTTACTTCTACGTACGAGTCTGCCACTCCCTGCTCCTGTCCTACAGCGTTCCTACAGGCACAGATCCTTAGCAATCCATAGTCCTTCAGAAAGGGCCTAATTTTGTAAAAGACCATTGAGTGCAGTTTTGAGTTCATCTACACTCAAATTAGGGGGTGGTCCTGTCTGGGAGGGAGTGGATGTCCTCTGTCTCCTGGCTGGAGAGCAGGAAAAGCCCAAGAGCCCCCAGCCCAACTCTTGCTGCTTCAGCATCTCCACCATCTGGTTAAGGAAGAACTTTGAGGGTATACCCAGGGTACCTGTTTAACCCACTCAAAGAGAAGCAGTGATGCTGTTCCAGGGCTTGTTTCAGAAGGAGCCTGAGCAAGAACCTGGGCATCAGTACCTGAAGGGGCTCCAGGAGATCTGGAAAGCGACTGTGGACAAGGGCCTGGAGGGACAGGACACAGGGAATGGCTTCCTACTGCCAGAGAGCAGAGTTATATGGGATATTGCAAAAACTTCTCCCCTGTGAGGATGGTGAGGCCCTGGCACAGGGTGCCCAGAGCAGCTGTGGCTGCCCCTGGATCCCTGGCAGTGTCCAAGGCCAGGCTGGACAGGGCTTGGAGCAGCCTGGTCTATAGGAAGGTGTCCCTCCCATGGCAGGGGGTAGAACAATATAAGCTGTAAGGTTCCTTCCAACCCAAAACATTCCAAGATTCCATGATAATGGGACGACAACGCCAGGGAAGCGTGTGACTCAGTTACATTTTGGAAAACATTTCAGACTCCGGAAAGAAAAGAAACAACAAACCCAACAAAAAACCCTTGGTGATCACAGGGGAGATGAAGCTGCTCTGACTCAGAAGTGCTGCAGGTGTCTCACCATCCTGATCTCCACAAACTGGGCAGTCCCTCATGTGAAACAGGCCTTGTGACCTGGCACTTGGAGCTGTCTGCAGAGCACCCCCGGGCCTGCGGGGCAGAGCCAGGGCAGCACGGGAAGAGTCACTTCTTGTTATTGTCTTTTAAACAGTGCCCAACTCCTGCCTCAGGAACAGCCACTGAAATGCCACTCCCTGTGCCACACAATGCCACTGCAAACAGGCAGAGAGAAGCGAGCAGAGGGGGACCCTGAAGGGTGCAGAGCAGCTCCCCTCGGTCACGCACTCAGGCTGGGCCCCTCAGGTGAGGGATGTCACTGACATGGGGACATGGGCAGGTGACACACACAGCGAGGGACACGAACCCTGTCACTCCTCCAGCCCTCAAACTGCAGCACCACATGTCTCAGGACCACTGTGAGCTCAAACTGTGCTGAAAAATTTTTTCTTTGGCCTAAGCCAACACAATTTTGTGATCATTGAACAAAACACCCTGCAATGGCCTGGAGAGCAAGAAATACAGCTCCGAGTGAGCATTTGGCTAATGAACTTTCAGGGCACAATCTGAAGCAGCACTTCCAGACCACGGGGGAATCCAAAGGAGCTAATGCTGCTCCAGATTGAGCACTGGAAATCACTGGGAATACAGCACAGCTGAGAGCCCTGGGCCAGGGGAACGTGCTCTCCCTGCATGGCTGCCACTGCTCTCCTGCAGCACTAAGCTTGTTTCTGCACTTTGTCACAATTCCAGAGCAGGAGATTAATTTTGTGATAATTACCACAAGCCACTTTCATTCCCAGCTTTTAAGTGTCTGCTGCTGCACATGTACCAAATGTGGAATCAACACCAACCGTCCACACAAAGGAAAGGTATCGGAGGCAAGGAACCACAGATCTTGGGGAGAAATGATGCTTGATGTGGGCAAGAGCAATCCCAGCAAAACTTCCCTTTGCCCCCACCACTACTAAAAAGTAATCAGCTTTATAAAATCAACTTGTCTAGTCAGAAAACGTAAAAATCTTCCACTGGCTCCTCTGTGCATGGCACATGGCTGTGCTCGGCTCAAACAAGCTGACAGATGGTCTGGCAAAATCTGATTTAACTCCAGCTCCAGGGGTTATTGAGCCACGAGGCAGCACGGGGGTTTGCGGGAGCGGGAGCTGGGGGAAGTTTCGGCACTTAACGAGCTAATTGAAATGATTCTTATCCGATTTGGTGTGGCTTACCAGGCCGTGCTCAGAAATGGGATGAGAGGCTCTTGGAGGGAAACCCTGAGATGAAACCCCAACTTTCTGTCCTGCCTCCAGTCTCTGCCTGGGCTCTGCCAGGCACTTTGTGCATGCTTGACCTGCTGCCTTCAGTTCTGTTCTCATCTGTGCAGGGCTCCGAGTGACCCTGTCCCAGTGCTTGAGCTTCTATGCAGCCTCTGAAATAAACACTTCAGTTGTGGCATTCAGCAAATCCCATCTCAGACTTGTGTTTTTTTCCATATTCACAGTCACACTGGGCACCTCCACCACGAAGCTGACGCCCTGCAGGACAGGCAGGAATTTCCTCCTGGAAAGCCTCCTCTGTGCAGGAAAGGGCTCAAGTTTCAACTCTACCAGCCAGAGGAGCAAAACCTCCACAAGGTAAGGGTGAGGAGGCCCTGACAAAGGCTGCCCAGAGAGCTGTGGCTGCCCCTGGATCCCTGGAAGTGTTCCAGGCCGGGCTGGATGAGGCTTGGAGCAACCTGGGGATAGTGGAAGGTGTCCCTTCCACTCCCTCCAAACCAGGTGAGGCTGGTTGACTTGCCAAAACCCTTCATCATCAAAACAGGCATTAGAGGCTTCTGTCCACTGGAAAGGAATTCCTTAAAAGGTTTACAAAAATCCAGCAGAAGCCTATCACAGAATCCTAGAATACCCTGAGTGGGAAGGCACTCACAAGGACTATTGAGTCCAGCCCCTGTCCCTGCCCAGCCACCCCAACAAGCCCACCCTGAGCATATCTGGCAGCGCTGTCCAAACGCTCCTGGAGCTCTGGCAGCCTTGGGACCATTCCCTGGGGAGCCTGGGCAGTGCCCACATGATCTAATAATGAAGTTTTCTTTATACACACAGACATATATTTATAAATTTTAAGTATCTGATGCTTTATGATACCCTAGAGAAGTCAAAACAAATCTAAATAACCAGTGGACTCCTTTCTCTGATCAGAACTGCTACTGCATCTTTACTAAAAGCTTCACTTTATTTAAGGGTTTATAAGGACATACAATGTGACTGGAACTAAAAATACGTGAAAATAGAAATGCTACATAAGCTCCTTGGCTGGAGGCTTCAACAGCATGACTCTCCCACAAATCCAGCACACCAGAGACCTGCAGTTTGCCACTTGCACCCAGCCTGGTCTGGTGGAAGGTGTCCCAAAGGAACGTGCCTATCTCATTTTTCACTTTCTCCATTGAGAACAAGACAATGTGACACATCTGAGCAGCCCATTTGGACAATAAGGGGATGTGGAGACTGTAGCCAGGACATGATTCCCTGTTCCATCTGACCCCTAACATAGACTTGCTCAGTCAATGCCTTACAGGCAAAGGCAGTAACAAGAATGCCAAGACAGGAGCTGTGGAAGTTAAAGCCCCCACACATGTATTGCTATCAAATACAGGCAGAAAGGATGGAAATTAAACATATCCATCAAAAGAGACCGCTGTTACTACCTGTAAGAGACTGCTGGTAAAAACAATTAAAATTAAGGGAGACTGGGGGAAGGTGATTCAGCAAAACACGGAATGGTATGGGTTGGAAGGGACCTTAAAGTTGATCTCATTTCACCCCTTGCCATGGGCAGGGACACCTTCCATTAGACCAGGATGCTCTGAGCCCCCTCCTTGGACGCTTCCAGCGATGGGGCAGCCACAGCTGCTCTGGGCACCCTGTGCCAGGGCCTCAGCTCCCTCACACGGAAGAATTTCTTCTCAATATCCCATCTAACCCTGCTCTCTGACAGGGCATTTCTCCTTGTTCTGCCCCTCCAGGCCCTTGTTCAGAGTCCCTCTCCAGGTCTCTTGTAAGCCAGAAAACACTCCTGAGCTGGGAAGCAGCCCTGAGCCAGAGCAGCAGCCAGCTGGGCTTCCCAAGTAGCCAGCAGGAGCATCAGGCTGTGTCTCAAGGCACAGGCAAAAGCAATCCCTGAATTTCTTCTCACAAGCCACACCTGTGGCTCCAGCTCCCAGCACATGGAGCAGCAGCACAGGGCAGTCCTGGGAGGGGAGG